TATTCTCTTTTTGATGTTGTCAAAGGGGGAGAAGAAGATGGTGTTAGTGTTAGAAAATAATTCTTAATATGCACAAACTCAGGGGGAGCAGCTCATTCATCCATACTGTATCATCACACATCATCAAATATTTTCCATCATCAAAAAGGGGGAGTTTGTGAGAAACCCCTTCATATAATTGGTTTTGAATGATAGCAAATATATGTGAAATAATCAATGAATGTTACCTACATGTGTGCATTGTAAAAAATATAGTATAACACGTTTAAAATAAGTTAATAATGTGTTTTACACATAAAATACTGTTATGAGTCGACACAAACAGCTTTGCATCGATGCATACTTAAGCAAAGAGTCATAAAAATGATTCTGCTTCAGTATGAGTCGACACATCCATGCTATGCATCGACTCATAACATGTTGATGCCCCTGGAATACAACCTTCAACCTTTATGCATCGATACACAACTTCATGCATCGACAAATGATATGTTGATGTCCCTGGAAAACATTTTTGAATTTTTATGCATCGATACATAACACCATGCATCGACTCATAACACGTTTTGTCTTCAAAAATCAAAAGTTCAATCCAGTATGTGTCGACACATACGTGTTATGAATCAACTCATGTAAAATGGTTGGTTCTGTAATATGTTGTAATATTTGTTTGCATCGACTCATAACAACATGTATCGACTGACTCTGTGTTACATAACTAACATGAGTTGACTCATGCTAACATGCATCGACTCATAATACGAATTTCTGTCTCTAACCGTTTTCTGTTACATATATAAGTAAGTTTTTTCAGTAGCAAATAGCATGACACATATTAAAATTGTGAGCATCAATTGTGAGCAGCAAGAAGCCTGAAAGATGCTTCATCTTCATCATCTTCTCAGTCATCTTAATTCAACAACAACAACGAAAATCAAACATCTTTATTCAATTGGATCAAGAGATCAAGAGATAAAGTTCAGTTGTGCATTCAAGGGATCTCAGCTGGGTTGAAGATTCTGAAGGAGGCTTTGAGGAAAAACTAAGGGGTTTGTCCTTCAATAACGAACGTGTTCTTGAGGGTTTGTTAGTCACAGTCACACAAGTCAGATTCAGGCGTAGCGAGGGGTTTGGAAATCAGAGGGATTTTTTCAAACAGGTCGTGGAAGCGGAGAATCGGTTGTTGATCTTCCAGGGAATCTTGATAAGGCTCATATCAAGTGGAGGTTCTTACAAGAAGAAGAAGATATTAGGGATTTCTTTCTATTTGTATAGTGTAACCTTGTATTTAAACATTCAGCAAAATTGTTATAAGAGTTCTCAATTTCAATTTTGGAATTGAGATGGAGACGTACCTACACGCGAGGACGACAGTGGGGAACTTCCTTACCAAACTGCCTGTGTATTATTCTTTCTTTTTCTCTATCTCTTTATATTTTCCGCAATTTTATGATTCAATTGGCTTGCTGAGTTTTCTGTTTAATGATAAAATAGTGGTTCAAATACTTTCATCAAACCACCATTATTAATCATCAAACAAGCATACGGAAACCGTTTGATAAAATTGCTTACAAGTTTTAATTCATTGGAAACAATGTTCTAGTGATAAGTGTATTAAAAATGTTAAGTAATATGTATTTAAGATTCATCTATTTTATACTAATAAAATCCAGCAAGTTTATTGCATGTCCGGTTTTCTAGTAGTTGGTTCAAAATAGACGGAAGTTGATTCTGGACCTTACTTTTCCACCGCTTTTAACAAACTTTGATAAAAGATTTTAAATTCTTGAAGAATAAGGAGGTGATCTATTCACTCCCCCCCCCCCCCTCCCCTCTCGATCACTTGCCACACCGTCTAACATTTTTTTAAAGAATATGCTTGATTTGTCTTTCTTTAGATTTTCTAACCATTGAGATGTTTTTGGTATAGTCCTCTTCTCCTCTTTGTATCATCTTTTTCTTTATTGAATTTTCAGCCTGATTTAAAATAAAACTCTAAAAGAGATTGTGAGATGTAGTAGTAAAGGAATTTATTAGGTGTTCTAATGTTCTTGTTATGCTATTTGTTATCAGCTTGAAGAATCAAATTGTGATTGTGTTTTCTAGAGATTGACATCTACTGAAGAAAAATAAGATTTTCCTCTTCAAAGAAATCTTGGTAGGGTCGAGTGAAGATCATTGCAGACGAAATATTGGAGTTCTTTGGTTCTGAGAAGGTGAACTGATTCAAGGTCGAGTGAAGATCTTTAAAGATTTGAAGCCTGTTAATTTGTGTACAGTAGAAGAAGAACCAATATTCAGATTTGTATTGCTTAGCAATTGCTTTAAGTTTTCAGTTTGTCTGGATTATCCATTATATCAAAAGACAATTGTAAATTTCAAATTAGTAGAAGACTAACAAATTTATGATGATTTTCCAATGGAGACTGTATTAGGTGTAAGTGAGGACAACACAATGAATCACTATATATTTGGTGTACATTTTTCTATCCCTTAATATTTTATTTTCCGCATAGTTTTCACGTTCTTAGATCATTAATCACTTTCAAGTATTTCATGTGAGTATAACTTATTGGTTATAGGATTTAATATTTAAGTCTGGGTTTATGTTAGATTTATTCCGCTAAACATTTCTTTCTAGTGATTTATCTAGAAATAAATAATTATATATTATTTTATGAATTAAAAAATTATATTTAAATAACTTTTTTAAATCAAATTAGATTAATCGTCATATTATTGTTTAATTGATTCATTACCATTTATCATTATTGAATTCATCTTTACATCATTATTGAATCTTATTGATGAGGTTTTCTCTGTTTGTCGTAAGGCATGTTTGGATATATTTAGAAAATACATGTTTGGATATATTTAAATAACTTCTTTAAATCAAATTAGATTAATCGTTTTATTATTGTTTAATTGATTCATTATCATTTATCATTATTGAATTCATCTTTACATCATTATTGAATCTTATTGACGAGATTTTCTCTGTTTGTCGTAAGGCATGTTTGGATATATTTAGAAAATACGTGATTTATTGTAGGGAGCTTCTAAGCTTCAAATATCGACATAACCTTGTTATGAATGACTTGTTTGATATATTTCGACATGCCGGAGTATCTGTAAGAAAGAGGGGCCTGTGGATTTTTTGACTGACCCACTTGAGGAGAGATCGACACTTAATTAGGTCAGCTGATGTTTTGGTGTACGGGTGGATAGGAGGGAAACATGCTTGTGTGGACTTGACGGGAGTTTCTCCACTGATGGGTTTGAGGGATCGTGGTTTTACTGTGGGACAAACAGCTCTCAAAGTTGCTTTCAGTAAAGTGGTCAAATATGAGAAAGCGTGTTCTGAAAATCAACATATTTTTATATCATTTGCCTTTGAAGCGTTTGGTTTCCTAGCACCAGAAACAATTGATCTTTAACAGAGAGCTCAAAGGTTTATGAATAACAGTGTTGTATCTCTTAGATCTATAGATATAGTTTTAAGAGGATTGATTTTACGATCCAAAAAAAAGTAGCGGTGCAACTTGATGCCCGCTTGTCTTCTATATTTGTATTGACCTAATTTTTTTAATAAAAAAAATATTGTTTATTTTCTTTTATAAAACACTTTTAAATTTCCGCTGCACCCGTATATTTTAATTTTTTATTTTTGAAAATCAATATTGAAATCAAATTTAATTGAGAAAGGTCTATTTAACCTCTTTTCAACTATTTTACACTCATATTTAATTGGTAGGGTGAGAGATACTTTATGTATTTTCTTCTTGATAGCCATTGAGAAAAATTGTTTTGGTTTTTTCTAAAGTAAAAAAACCTTAGGTCCCTTAAGCGCGGTGAACCGGACAAACAACCTCGTGGAAGAAACAAGATGCATTGAGATGAAATGTTACTTATTTCTTATGTAGATATTTAGAAGAGACAAGAGTTATAACAAAAATTATCACTATCAACTATTACCACCATCCTTATCATGTATTTGGCCATCCAAAACATGAGCCAATTCAGAACATATAAAATGTAGTTTAGGTAAAAAAATACATGTGTTTAGTTTATATTAGGAAAAAATCAATTCTATTTAACATCACATTTATCAAACATTAATAAACATTATCCCAAACATGCTATTAGTAAGGTTACTACAATTGTCTAACATTGTGGTTACCATGATCACATCCCACCTAAACAAAGTTTAGCCAACAAACCTCACCAATAATGACCTACCATCACTTATTTTAAAAGTTGAATGAGCACTTTGAAAACCAATGAATATACATCAAACAAGATTAACAAACTTTTCAAAAAAAAAACTTACCATCAATTTATATTTGATTATGCATCTTGCTATTCAATATATATATATATATATATATATATATATATATATATATATATATATATATATATATATATATATATATATATATATATATATATATATATATATATATATATATATATATATATATATATATGTTTTTCTACCTACAAGACAAAGATTTTCATGACAAATACTTCACAAAGTGAAAAGAAAAAAAACACATTAAAAAAAGCATATTAAAGACCAAACATATTATTACATTCTTTCCACTTGTGCACCTTATGCTATTGGAAAGACATCTGTATTATACAATAAGTCATATTTAAATTTCAATGACAACAACATAAGTTTTAAAAAATATATATATTATTTATATACGTACATCTTGTGACTCATAGATGGTAGCCCCAACATTCCTTTTGTTTAATTGGTTCATCCAAAAATTATGTTAAGAGTTTTATAATACAAGGAACCTTCCTAGTTTCTACAAATTTAAGCTCTTCTTTTTTCTTTTTTTTTGTAACTACCATTTCACTACCTTTTGGTTCTTTATCCAAGTTATGCTTTTGAAGCTCAACAAGATAAAGATTTTTAATATATAGTTTTTTTTAAAATTCATCATCTATATATTTTCTTTCATTCTTTTCTTCTTCATCATAAAAATATGGATTCTTTTAAACAAATTTGGGGTGAAGGTTGTAGTAGTAGTGAATCTGGTTGGACTATGTATATTGATTCTCCAATGCAAGAAGATGATGCTAGATGCAGCAATGAAAATGATGGATATCATCATAATCATGGTGAAGTTTATGGCGAAAAGCATGGGAGAAAGAAGAAAGATGATGAAGAAGAAAGTGATGATTCAATGGCTTCGGACGCTTCGTCCGGGCCGATGAATTATCAACAAAATCGAGGCCATGGTGGAGAAGAGAGGAATCGAACATCGGTGTCGAAGAAAGATAAACAAGATCATGGAAGTAAGAGTTGTTCTAAGAAGAATGGAAATAAACAAGAGAAGAAACGTGTTGATAGTAGAAGTAAGAAATGATATAGAAAATGTTGATTGGTTTTTTTTAAATATTTTTTGTGTATGATGCTTGGGATTTTTGTAACCATGCATCTTCAAAATTTGAATTTGTTGATTTGTAATCATAGTTCTCTACTCAAAGGAAATATTGCTAAACATTTTTTCAAGTTTTGGAGGAATCATAAGTTTTGATGCTTCATCTTTCATCTCTATGTTGAATGTTGTATCATTCCCTTTTTTAATCTCATCCAAATTTCAAAGTTAAACATGCTTGAATTGAGGCATCATCACATGGTATTCCAACAAAATAAAATAAATTTCCAAGCAAAAGAATTGATGTTTTTCTTGAAATGGGAATCATAGAGAGGTTAAATTTTATGACTTTTGTTATTAGGCGTGTTCGGGTGTCATGAGTTTCAGTTAAAGTCAAATCGAATCATAGAATCTGAATTCGGTCCATAACATAGTTAATGAATTTTAATTAAAGTCAAATCAACTCAGACTGAATTCGATTCATAACAGTAATAAATTATAAATCAGATTTAATTTATCTTCAGACCATTCTAAATTACTATAATTTTTACCTAAGAATCAGAGAATTAAAATTAAAAATATTTGAAAGGTTCCACAAAATTTAAAATTTATCACAGTTAAATTATAATTAAGTAAAATTTTAAAATATTTATCACTGATAAACCATAGTTAAATATAATACATATTTATTTTATCACGGTTGAACGATATAATTCATCTTTATCACTAAATTCAAAGTAACTATACAAAAACTTAATCAAATTGGTTGAGAGAAAAAACAAGAAAATAACAAAAGAAAAGTACTAAAGAGTCCAAAAAAGAATTTTGGATAGTATATCACAGAAGAAAGTGATATATTTGTATGAAGAACATGGTAATAATGATATTATGGATGCACGTGTTTGCTGCCAAAATAGCTAGGAAGAACTAATGGGGTATGCTTTGCTGGAAAGTGAGTAAGGTTTCAAATAAGCTACACAAATGACAACTAGAAGCAATAAAAGCCATTTTGTTTGCAATGACAACTTTGTAAAATATGGGACACAAATGTTAACAGCAAAGCAATGGCAAGTTTTAGGCTGTATCAAGTGACATGAAAACATGAGGGTACACATGACCTAAATGGAATCAATGAATTTGATAAATTAAATGGTCACATATCCATTCATATAAAACCAATGGAAAGAGAAAGAGAAAGGGGTCTTTTTAGTTTTAGTTTTTGTGTAAAATACAAGATACAAAAGAGTGTTTCTCTTTTATCCACGTTTTAGCAAAGAAGTGGGTTTAGTTTTTGTTGTCAATATCCATTGAATCATACATGACTACTCATCATAACCTGCTAGTAGTACAAATTTTGAACATAGAACCCTGTTTTATTCTCAATTAACAATTCGTGATTTCGTTGGGGTTAGGAAAGGTAGGTCAGAGAGTTTTGAAGAGGTTCTCTAAGATTTGAAAAGAAGTGGATGTTTTTGAAAGTCGTAATGTTTTTTTTATAGTTGTTTTAAGATATGTTGTCGATTAGATAAAAAAATTTGAAACGTAAAATTTTGTCCGAGTATAATTTTGGGAATGTTATTTGTGCGGTGAATAAGTACAGTCACTAGTCCCTAGATCATCTCTTTATTTTGTATAAGGTGGTTTCGGATATTTGGTTTAGAGTTTTTAGGTTGGTTAGAAGGTCGGGGCTTTTGTCTTGTTCGATCTTAGGGGATTTCAAAATAGTTCAAGGTTTTGGTTTTGGAAAACAACCGCCTTTAGGTTTGGTCTCGATATGACACTATGTGATCTAAATTATTTGAAAAATGCATAATAAAGTTTTTCTTATCAGTAAAGCTTGACGATTAATCACCAGATATCTTTGATTATTAGCTTAATATGGAAGTGACTTCGAGCTCATGCTTTGGATCTTGACATTTCTCTAGTTGACTGAGAGTGAAACCTGCTTAAATTTATATGTCTAAATATCGTTAATTGTCTAAATATTTCTATCACTAAATTTATTTGTAATTAATTTAGTGTGTTTTCACTTATAATCTATATTTCACTCGTATTTTAAATTAAATATATATTTGGTATTTAACATTTATCAATATTCGACACTGATATTTTAAATTAAAGACGTGTTGGACATTGAATACATGTTTGTTTTGATACTAACACGGAGTTATGACATTAATATAAAGTTACATTTAACGGTTTTATATCCTCAAATTATTACTCCCTCTATATTATAATGAGTAAATCAATTAAATGAATAAATAAAAGAGAGAATGATATTTTTATTAAAATACTTTATTAAATATTGAGAGTGATGGAAATAATAATGATTAAAGAGTAGAGTTGTAAAGAAAAAAATATTAATTTGAATTGTAAGTTAAAATGAATCATTTATTTTAAAACACGGTCTTTTGCAAATGAATCATTCATTGTATGACAAAGAGAGTAATGTAGATTTATCTTACTTTTATATAACTCGACATTATCATATTATAAAAGATAATGTTATTTAAAATCAACAAAACAATAGTGTTATTTAAGATTGGAAATGAGTCAAGTTTAGTCAAACTCGTCTCAACTCAGTTTGATTTGTTAAGAATTATTCAGTTCAAATCTCGGCTTGAGTTCAACATATTTTTGTAAGTCCGCACTCGACTCGTTAAAACTTCACGAACAATTCAATTCAACTCGTTATATTCATCTCGTTAAGTTAAATTTGCTTGCTTCACATATTTAAAGTCATTTTTTTAAAAAAAAAATTTATATATTTAACATTTTAAATTAACTTTTTTAATAAGAAAATATTGAAATAAAATAAAAGCTATCATATTGAAATTTAATTTTGTCTTAAAAAATTATTAATTCAAAAATTATACACTTTTCAAGAGATACATTTTAAAGTCTTATTCAAAAACTACTCAATTGAAATTTATATGATGTTCATTTTATTTATATAATTACTTTTGAAAATATTTTGCTCAATTGCACATATAAATTATCAATTAAAATTGTTATATTAAAAGAAAATATAGAATTAAGGTTTAGAGTAAATCTGCTATTAAAATAATATATTATTTTTCATATATAATCGAGTTCATTCATGAATCTAACGAATTAAATTATTTATAGTTTAAATTCAACTCATTTAATTAACGAATTTAGTTTTTCACTTATATTTAAGTCATTTAATTTATGAACTTAGTTCAACGATTTAATTATCAAATCGACTTCGAAATATTTTTGAATTAGTTCGAATCATTGTCATCCTTAATATTATCAATTGTAAATGACAAAACCATGGCTGAAAACCTTAAATAACAAGTCTGTCACCGCAATCCGTCATAGTGTCTCCATGACCTATTTGTTCAAATGAGTTATCTCTTACAAAGGATCAAACCAAGAATACTCATGCACACATCCTCACCATTTTCAAACCTAGTATGCTTGCATTAAAAATAGTTTATTTTCTTATACCATATTTATCTACTAAATTTGTTAGTCACAATCTTGCATATCAGTTAACAAAAAACAAAGTATGCATAGATAATAAATGAGTAACATGGAAGATTCTCTCAATTCCATATGATCCAAATTCTCACCTTCCATTTACAAAGAAGTGGTTCACAACAATTATTTCAATTTCCAATTATTTAATGTTTTTCTTGAATTTGAAAGTGATCTTTAAAGTTTAAACCCTCTCCATATTTTGTTTCAAGATATTATTTACTAAAAATAATTTATCATGAATTATTCAGTTCAAATCTCGGCTTAAGTTTAACACAAACTTTTTTTAAATTTAAACTCGATTTGTTATAAATTTATCAACAATTTGATTCAAGTCGTTAGGTTAAATTTGCTTATTTTTTTTAAAATCTATTTTTTTATATATTTGATATTTTTAAATAAATATTTCTTTTAATAAAAAAATATTGAAATAAAAATAAAAACTATCAGATTGAAATTTAACTTTGTCTTAAAAATCTAGTAATTCAAAAACTATACAATTTTCATTTTATTTATATAATTAATTTTGGAAATATTTTGCTTATTTGAGCATATAAATTATCAATTAAAATTATTTTATTACAACAAAAAATAGGGTTAAGATTTGAAGTAAGTCTTTAAATCTATTATTAAAATAATAAATTTTTTCTTATATATAATCGAGTTGACTCATGAATCTAACAAGTCAAATTATATATAATTCAAATTCAGCTCATTTAATTAATGAATTTAATTTTTCGCTCATATTCAGTCCATTTGATTCATGAACCTAATTCAACGATTTAATTGTCAAACCGAACTCTAAACTATTTTTATATTGATTCAGTTTATTGTCGATCTTAATGTTATTGATTGTAAATGACAGAACCATGGCAGGTCTGACACCGCAATCCGCGATGGTGCCTCCGTGATCTATTTGATAGTACTAGATCTCTCCAAACGAGTTATCTCTTACAAAGGATCAAACCAAGAATACTCATGCACACATTCTCACCATTTTCAAACCTAGTATGCTTCCATTAAATAGTTTATTTTCATATACCATGTTTGTGTACTAAATTTCTTAGTCACAATCTTGCATATCAGTTAACAGAAAATAAAGTATGCATGGACAATAAATGAGTAACATGGAAGATTCTCCCAAATTAAATATGATCCAAATTCTCAACATCCATTTACAAAGAAGTGGTTCACAACAATTATTTCAATTTTCAATAATTTAATGTTTTTCTTGAATTTGAAAGTGATCTTTTAAAGTTTAAACCCTCTTGAGATTTTGTTGCAAGATATTATTTACTAAAAATAGTTTATCATGAACTTTGCCCACACCTGTTTCAGCCAAAGACCATTACAGGCTTCTCAATCATTGATCTCATTATTGACAAAAACCATTAAAGGCTCTTCAATCATTGAGTTCATTATTGATATGAAGACTTCAACAAACTCAACAGTAGCAGAAGACAAAAGAGGAAGTAAAAGTTAAGAAAAAAATGGATTGACAGAAGCTACTTCTTAGTTCTAACAACTAGCTCAAATATAAGATGGAAGTAGGGAAAATCAGAGCATAAAATAAATGAAATTTCAATCATTCTTATATGGTGACTTAAAAGGTCTGTATGGATAAACAACGAAATCTTCACGAGTTAAATCTAACCACATTTCTTAACATAAGTATCAGAGTCTCCTTTAAGATCGGTTGAACCACCTGCTATTAAGTTTCCAATATCGGACCATCCACCAATTATTTTCACACTCCAGATGTCAAGTCTTATGCTTAAAAGGGAGTGTTAAGAGTCCTAAATCAGACAATATGAATATGTGCTTATAAGTAGGAGTAATTTTCACCCTACAAGTCGGTTCACATTTCTTAACAGTCATGCTAGTAGATAAAATCAAATAAGACAATCCTTACAATGCTCGCACCCTCTACTTTGTCTATTCCGTCTACTCTGTTTTACGGCACATAGCGGACTTTAGGTGGGCTCTGACACCATTATATAACAACTAAAATTGAAAACCAAATGCAACCCCACCAAGGAAAAAGGAAGAAAAAGAAGAGGGTGCAATTTATTCAAGGGTCACAAAAAAAAGGTATGAATTATGCAGAAGTTACTTTCATATATATAAATACATGATCCACACCTTTTGAAAGGCAGATTCTTATTTGTCTTTGTCTGTGGAACAAGCTACAAAAAATCAAAATTCGTCAATCTCTACAGGTATGAAATTCCAAAAGTGTGCAACAATGAATAGAGTATAAAATAAAGTGACAACAACAACCATTATTTATCCAATTATGTGTGGCTAATGACATTAATTAATCAAATTCATTGCACATTGGTCTTTACTAAAAACCAAAAAACTGAATTGTCCATTAAATATAAAATGGACCTTCTTTTTGCTGGCTTTGGCTTCTGCTAGGAAGTGATAAGCTAGCTTTCTCTCTCTATCTATGAAGTACTCTATCAATGAAGTACCGATGCAGACACGACATTGACACATAAATCTCTGTAATAGTTTAAGAAACTAAAGTATTTGAATGTAATCTGATGTGTCAGAAAACTAAAGTGATCGAACGTAATCACGACATTGACACAAACATCAGTAATAGTTTAAGAAACTAATTGAAATCAGATGTATCAGAAAAGTAAAGTGATTGAATGTAATCAGATGTGTCAAGTAATAGTTTAAGAAATTAAAGTGGTTGAATGTAATCAGATGTGTTAAACTAAAGTGATTGAATTTAATCAGATGCGTCAAGTGTGATGTCTTAGCTACACAGCACTCAATCTGTCATTTTTGAAACACCTGTATATTCTGCTGACAAGCTGTAATCAAATTCCTAAATTTTGAAAGTGTATTTCAATGCCATCTAAGTTAGTGTAGAATGTAAATACATGAAAGAAAGAAATAAAGCCAATCAATGACATTATTAACATTCTCTATCAATGAATACTTTACTGTCACAATATCAATCATCATTATTAAACTCAATCAAAAACTTGACAATGGAATCAAATTCAACTCCCGCGGTAACTTTATTAACTTAAATCCATACAAATCCATGGTGCTAAACTCAAAATACTAAACTTGACAATTTTGTACCAAGTGCAAATCAAGATCAGTAAAAATACAATATAATAATTGGAAAACTGAAATCCAAGAAATTTAGAAGGACATAATGGTATGAAGTTCAAAACATTGCAAATACTATGTAAGCTTTAACTCAGCAAACAGTCTTGAGTAGAAAACAATACATTTATTAGGAAATCATGAAGAGTTTGAATACAGTAATCTAGATTCTTGACTGCTTGGCAAGCTTGAACCACTCAGTATGGTAAGATCCGTCGATGTCGGTCCTTTCATAAGTATGAGCACCAAAATAGTCTCGTTGAGCTTGCACCAAATTAGCCGGCAACCTTTCCCTTCTGTAAGTGTCAAAATAAGCAAGACTAGCAGACATACCTGGGATGCTGATACCAGAATTGACAGCAAGGCAAACAACTCTCCTCCATGCACTTTGGCGATCGATTATTTCCTTTGCAAACTCTGGATCGACAAGAAGGTTTGCCAAATTGGCGTTTCTGTCATATGCTTGCTTGATTCTGTCTAAGAATATAGCTCTAATGATGCAGCCTCCTTTCCAGATACGGGCGAGTTCACCCAATTCCAAACCCCAACCCTTTTCAACACTCTTTGCACGGATCAGATTCATTCCTTGTGCGTAACTACAGATCTTGGCTGCGTAAAGAGCCTTTCTAACATCATCAATCAACTGTTTCTTGTCTACGTGTTGGTCGGTCAAGATATCGCTAAAGCCGCCTGATTTAAAGATCTTTGCAGCTTCAACTCTTTCGTCCTTCAAACCACTAAGGAACCTAGCATCCAATGAAGCTTCAATGGTGGGAGCAGCAACCGATAATTCGGCGGCTTGCTGAACAGTCCACTTACCGGTACCCTTCATGCCGGTTTTGTCGAGGACCTTGTCAACAAGATATCCATCACCTTTATCGTCCTTAATTCCGAATATATCTGCGGTGATTTCAATCAAGAAACTCAGAAGTTCTCCCTTGTTCCATTCTGTAAATGCACTTTGTAGTTCTTCATTTGTCAACTTTCCAACTGACTTCAGCACATCGTAAGCCTCAGCAATCAGCTGCATGTCACCATATTCAATTCCATTATGGATCATCTTCACGAAATTACCGGATCCACCTTTACCGATATACGTCACACAAGGACCGCTATCAGGAACTTGAGCTGCCACCTTGAGAAGAATATCTTCAATGTATTTGTATGCCTCGATAGAACCACCAGGCATCATAGAGGGACCACGTCGAGCACCCTCCTCACCACCTGAAACTCCCATCCCAAGGTAGAGCAGACCCAATTCAGCTACCTCTTTCTCCCTTCTCTCGGTGTTCTCGTACCATTCATTACCACCATCGATTATACAATCTCCTTTTTCCAAGTATGCGGATAGGGCCTTGATAGTCTGGTCGACAGGTGCACCGGCCTTAACAAGCATTATTATCACCCTCGGTTTTTGAATGGACTTAACAAAGGCTTCAGGGTCATGGAAGCCATATAGTGGAAGATTACCTTCTTCTTTTGCCCGTTCGACAGTTTCATCAACCTTGGATGTTGTTCGGTTATAAACAGAAATGGGGAATCCTTTGTCAGCAATATTGAGTGCGAGATTTTGGCCCATAACAGCCAGTCCGGCAAGACCTATCCTTGTAAGTGGTTGTTGAGCCATGATTTATTTCCTGTTCAATGACTAATATGCTTATAAGAACAAAGGAATTCTAATTCAAGGGGAAAAAAGAACATAAATTAAAACAGCAAAAGACATTTAGAATTTGATTCCAAAATATTACGCATAAAACATTTTAAGATTTCCCAAATTTAACCTTAGAAAGGTCGGGTAATGGAAATGATCCTGTGATCATCGTAGTACAAAATACCAACTATTAAACCCACACAAACTTGAAACAAGCATGATATCAAGCAAGGGCTATCTACGGCCTCAACAAAAGCTCACAAAATACAATTAGTGTTATATCAATTGCAGACGACAACCATGGCGAAAATCCAAAAATCTGTCATTTTAAGCCACCATACAACGTCATTGTGCCATTATCTTACACAAATTGGCCATGGCAGTTGTCAAAAACAAAAAAACAATCAGTGTTACCAATTGCAGATGGCAACCATGGCGCAAATCCAAAAAAAAAAACTGTCATTTTAAGCCGCCAGACAACGCCATTGGCAGTTATCTTACAAAAATTGCCCATGGCAGATGTCAAAAAATCTATCACCACAATCCACCATGACCGATATTTGACAACACTTAGTACGATATCATAATTACAATCCAAAACATCACTTAGCACGTGTTTTGCGGTGAAAATAAATAAATTCTGAGAGAATTTGTTTCGTTAAATCGATTATGGCTAAAAATTCTTGCAAAAATGAGTTGAAAAATAAATTTCAATATAAAAATCACGTTTATACTCAAAAGCTATAAATTTTATTTTCAAGTAGAATCAATTCTACTCGAAACAACCAAACATAACAAAATCCAAAATCAATTCCAAGTGCTCCAAATCACCGAACAAAAGTACAGTAAGAGAGCTTTGCAAGATCTGACACACCCTTTTCCAAAAAAAAAAAATTTTTTTAAAACAAAAAAGAGATTAATTTGTATACATAAAATCACATCTCCCAAGATATTTAATTCTGCATATATTTGCAAACTAAATACAAACAAATTTTTTTAAACTTTCCTCTACATACTACAGACAGAGTATAAACCAACAACTCAGTATATCCATCACCTACAAAGCAACAAAATCATGGTGAAAAAAAACTCATCTAACTACAAATCAGAGACACTAAAATCTCAGATCAGCAACCACAGATAAAATCAAACCCATAAAAAATTGACAATAATAACAACAATTAACATCAAATTGAAGCTCATAAAAACCATAAACACTAACACATAATCAGATCCAAAAAACAAAAGAAAACAAACCTGAAATTTGAGAGGATTAAGATAAAAATTGAGGATTGTGAATGAGATAAAATTGGGTATGAGTAAAGTATGAATATATAGAGTAATTGAGAAAGTGAGAAAGATTACCGATTGAAAAAAATATATTATAAAATTTGTAGTTGAAACTTGAAATTCAATGGTCGAAGATGGCTAGCGAGAACAATCAACTACCAACCTTTTTTCGGAGTGAAAAAGGAACCAATTTTCGTATCTATATTAATGTTCTGTTTCATAGTTTTTTATTTTATTTTTTTAAATGGGAGATTTTTTATTTAATTAACATAAAATATAATTTTACTACAAAAAGTAGTTTTATCAAAATTAATTTTATCAAACAAAGTAGAGTTCAGAAAATATCAGATTTAATTTTTAATGGAAACGTATATTTAGTCAATGTTCGAATCTTTAATGTATCATTGAATCAGATTAATCGACTCATTTGTAATATAAAATTTAATAAAATATTATATAATAATTAAGATTAAAGATAATGTACTACACTTACATCTAATTAATGCATAAACGTGACTTGATAAAATATATATTATTAACCGATTGATAATGTAAAGTTATTTTATATATTTGATGTATATTTTTTTTTCTTATAATAATTTTATGATTAGAATTTCATTTAAGAGATATTTAATTTATTGTATAAAAAATGTTCGAATAAGAATTTGTATTTTTGGGATTGTATATTTTTAATTTTTAATATATTATATAAATTTTTTAATTATTTTTCTTCAAAAAAATAGTGTGGTTTGTGTAAAAATATATTATTTTATGATATTTTTCTTTTTAATATTTTTTAAGGATACTTTATTTGGTATTTTAAAATTTTTAATAAATTATGTGTTTTGGTAAAATTAAAGTAAAGGAAAAAATTTTAAAATATTAATTGTGTGTTCAATAAATGTGAACTAATATTATATTGATTAAAATAATTAGCCAAATAATTATAAGTCTATTTAAATCAATCTAGTTAGTAATTATGAGAAAATATTAAATGTAGTAGGTGATATCTCATTTATTTATTTTTAAAATATTTTAAATTTTAGTTATTAGTTTATTTTAAAAAATTATAAAAATATCACAATTTTATATTTTAATTTTAAGAACAAAAGTTAAGTATAGAATTTTCATTGAATATTAGACAATATAAAATTTTATTTGCTCAGATAACGTGTTTTTCTATAATTCAATTAAAATAGTTGCATGTGGATGGCTCGGGTAGCTCAGTCGATAATTGTTAATTTAGTTTAAAAATTGTTCGTTGAGAATTCGAATTCCGACAACAACAACCAAAATTAAAGTAATTGCATTTGACAAAAAATTAATTATATATATCAAATTTTTTGTTTGATTTTTCATTATCGATATAGTCTAATTCAGAATCAATTCTAATATTAAGTTATTTCGACTCTCTTTAATTAGAATTATAGAAATTGAACCGTAATCTTTTTTATTAAGTTTAAATGTCAATCATCAATGTCAATTAATTGTTTTTTTTTTTAAAGCAAAATCATTACTATTTTTAATTTTTAATAACTAATATTATTATATTTATTATTAAATTGTTGTTGTTGTCGGATTGGAGGCTTTTAGCATTTGGTCAAAATTTTCCAGCTTTCAAAGCTATTCGGTGGTGGGTTAGGTAGAAGGACTCCAGTGAATCTACACCGTTGATTTATCGCTATCATGTGACTTATTGAAAATTGGGTCAAATTTGGTTTAGTATATTACTCCTTCGGTATTAAATTATTGGATATTTGCATCATTTTAACAAATTAAAAAATATAATTATTATTTTATAGAAAAGTGAAATAATATATATAATTTTATAAAAACATCATTCAATTTTAGAAAGTGAAATTAAAAGAATAGAAAGAAGATACGAAAATAAATAATAGAGAGTAGATTGAAATAAAGGATTCAAGAAAGATGAATATTGTAAAAAATAAGAAGAAGAAGAAGAAGATAGAGAGATTGATGAGTTAGTTATGTGTAACTAACTATCTAAACTGATTTGTTATTATTGTTACTTCTTTCTATTACAACCACAATGACCATTTATATAGCCAAAATAGCTCAGGCCCAAATACATGCTAAAAAACTCAAATAACTACATAACAAGAATTAACTAACTAACACACTCCCTTAATTCATGTTATCAAGACTTCTCATCCCAATGTCTTTCTTTAACTCTTCGAATCTCACTTTCTTCAGAAATTTGGTGAATATGTCAGCTAGTTGCACTTCTGTCTTACAATATTTTATTTCAAGCTTCCCTTTGTTGACTTGATCTCTTAGAAAATAATACATTCGTTCAATGTGCTTACTTCGACCATATTGGATGATTTGTAAGGTTTATAGCTGACTTGTTATCAACAAACAGCTTCATCTTCGACTTTATTATTCTGAGTTCCTCAAGTAGCATTTCGATCCATGTTGTCTGGCATGCAGCATATGATGCAGCCGCATATTCTGCTTCACATGATGACAAAGCCACAATGCTTTGCTTCCTCGAACTCCAGAATATTGGAGCTCCTTCGATCATGAAAATATATCCTGCAGTACTCTTCTTTTCATCTTGATCTCCACTGAAATCTGAGTCAGTGTGTCCATGAACTTCAACATTTGTGTTATTCTTTGACTTCTTTGGTAACAGCACATTGTGATACGGTGGCAGAACCGACTGTTAATACTGGTTTTATATTTGTGTTCGCAAATATTGCGGTAAGCAAGAGTCGTCATCGACTTGTCTTTTATTTATATTAAGGGAAGGGTGAAAAGAACAGAAAAAGACTTTTTCGAGAGTTTTCTGAGTAAGGGGGATAGATTATGAAAAGGGAAGGTGTTAGCACCCTTTTCATCCGTAGTTTTCTACGGGCTCTTGGTTGCTTGTTAGATCAGTTGCTTTTCGATTGACTTTGGATCTTGATTCAATTTGTATAAAGTCTCAACATTTTGGCTTCTTCGATCAGCCCCTAAGTTCGCTCTCTTCGATTGCTCTGACACTACTCAACTAGCCCAATCGAAAGACTTTATTCTGATCAGTTGAAGCTTCCTTTGACAGGAATGTGCTTGTGCAGGGGGTTTGGGCTTTGCAACGTACAGGATTTTAGCCAACAAGCATCTTGGACCAAGACTCATCACAAAGCAAACTTGTTTTCAATAGTTATGTGTCCTTTGAATGGACCAATGAATGCTTCTTCGAAGGGACCACATAAATGCGCCTTCGAAGGGACTATCATGCGTGTCAAAGTGTGGAAAATTGTTTCAAATGGGACCATTGCCTAGTCGAAGCTGGCACAAAGGTAGCCAATGCCTTGTGGGTCGAAGGAAGCTTTTTGCCTGGTGGATTGAAGGCAAATCTGAATGAGTCTTGGCCTTGTGTGTTGAAGGCAAGCTGAAGAGGGGGCCTTTACCTTGTGAATTGGAGACCAGTGAAAGGGGCCTTTTGCCTTGTAGATCGAAGACAAGTTGACGGGTCTTTGCCTTGCGAAACCAAGGCAAGCATGAGGAAGCTTTATGAATTAAGCTTGATCAAAGGAGATTCAACGCCCAATCGAAGCTTGTATGCAGGAGTTCACTGCTGGTGAATCGAAGCAAACTTGTAGGAGATTCTTGCTTGTGAAGTTTGTACCAAGGCTTGTTCGAAGGGGAACCAACGCACAATCAAAGTTGATGTGCCAATG